TTGACGTATCCTTTGGTGCCGGTGTCGTGACCGCGGACAAACAGACAAATGTACAGAGAGACCGACCAAAATTATGGCGTCGAATGTCCCCAAGAAAAATATCGTCTTTAAGAAAGCATTGCACACAGTATACAGTTGGCACTGACTGTAGCAACCCAAAACAAAACAAAAAAAATAACTGCATCATAAGCACCACGCCGTCTCAAAAACGTCACACTCAATCAAAATGCGCGATAAACGTATTTAATACACGTGTACTCAATATTAGACTTGCCTGCCGTGTATAGTTTAGCAGGTGTCGCGCTGCTATAAGCTCGTGGTCGCAAGGTATCCTTACTATAGAGTGCAATAATTATGTCGTGATTTTGTCATGCCAGAAATTATAATTAAATATTAGACAAAAAAGATAAAATATTGCAGCACATTGTAACTTAACATACCAATACAGCTGCGCGAATTCAAATGTCGCCCTCCACCTTAGATGTGCAGTGTAAATTTTTATCAACGGGAACACGAAAGCGCATGACATGCGCGGTGGCCTACAGCACCATCAACCGACAGATAAAGTAAGCGCGACTGTTTTTCGCGTCATCTGTTGGCAAACAAAACAGGCCATGACCGTTGGACAAGCGCTGCTAAATTGTGCTCCCGCTCTGGTCTCGCAGCGGGCGATGCTGCCAAAAGCGGACGCGCTCTCTTTATCTATCGGCTGATGGGGCTGTATACGCAGCCGCCGCAGAGTGCAGGCCACGCGCTCGCGCGTTGAAAAATTGACACTACGTCTTATTTGTGATTGACAGCCAAGTAACAACGGTCTAGAATTATGTTGAGGGACAGCGTATAATGTTCCGGATGATACAGTTAATTTTACTACTCTTCAGAAAGGACAAATGCGTATTGCGAAGCGGAATTTTATACTCGACCCTCTTTCAACTTCCACAAGCGATGAATTCACGCGAATCTTGGCGCGAGCACATGGGACTTCGCATCGTGAGCTTTCAATTGATTGCCGTCCAAGAGGGTGCGCGTTCTACGGCTTTGCACAGAAAGGTGATCGTGCAATCGATCAATACGTAGCGATATCCTTGCATTCTTGGACACGTCATTTTTTCGAGCACAAAGGAAAATGTTGACTGCTCAGGGCAGAAATCCTCATTCCTTTGGCCACCGCACTCACGCGAAGATGCGAAAGCTGAAGACTACGTGTCCAGCTCACTTCACTTTTCAATCAAGTCCTTCCCTCGTGACGTAGCACACCTTGGAGAGAGCACTCTCGGCAAGCGTAAGGTCCGGTCCACCTATGACACACTAGAGCAAAACACGTAATTTGAAGGGGGCGTATGGCAGCGGACTAATTCATTGAGCGCGCTTTTCTTTCAGCCTGGGTGCGCACCCCCGTCCCAATCCACATTTTTTTTTTTCCTTTTCAAGGGACCCTATCACAAAAAAGATATAGCTTTATAGTAAGAAAGTCAGAGGCAGTCGCATTTTTTTCTTGCATCAAATCAATTTAAAACTACCTAGCAATGGCATTCTGATTCTGCAAAATAAAGCTTGGCGTGATCTTTATGGCAGAATTAATTTTTACTATGTTTGTTTTCTTTTCCCCTAATCGCGGTTCAGTCGCGGCTTATAGGCAATTGATCTTGCTCACAATTTTTTATCTGGATTGCTTTTTTGTTGGAAGAGTTGTGATAAGATAAATAGTCCGCATTCACGCGCGAATGTTTCGAGGAATGATTGCTAGATAGTCGAACGCTGCAATTCCTCGTGACAACAGATTTCTTGTGGGTGACACGCTGGGGATGGTGTGATGCGTGGCCTGACGACGGACAGCATGAAGAAAGCAGAATAAGCGAAAGCACGGATTTGCGGTCGCCGCAAACCCTGCCTAAATCATTCGATTGATGCCACATTAATATGCTCGTGCTTCTTTAGGATACACGTCAAAGAAGCCCGAGTGGTTAAAGTTAATCCAGAACCCCCTAAACGGAGTCCTTGATTTGATTGATTGATTCGTGGGGTTTGACGTCCCAAAACCACCACATGATTATGAGAGACGCCGTAGTGGAGGGCTCCGGAAATTTCTACAACATGGGCTTCTTAACGTGCACCCAAATCTGAGCACACGGGCCTACAACATTTCCGCCTCCATCGGAAATGCAGGCGCCACAGCCGGGATGCGATCCCGCAACCTGAGGGTCAGCAGCCGAGTACCTTAGCCACTACACCACCGTGGCGGGGTAGACGGAGTCCTTACTGTAGCGTGTAAAACTAAACAAATAACTTCGATAGATAGATAGATAGATAGATAGATAGATAGATAGATAGATAGATAGATAGATAGATAGATAGATAGATAGATAGATAGATAGATAGATAGATAGATAGATAGATAGATAGATAGATAGATAGATAGATAGGTAGATAGATAGATAGATAGATAGATAGATAGATAGATAGATAGATAGATAGATAGATAGATAGATAGATAGATAGATAGATAGATAGATAGATAGATAGATAGATAGATAGATAGATAGATAGATAGATAGATAGATAGATAGATTTTAACGTGCCAAAACCTCCATATGATTATGAGAGACGCTGTAGTGGAGGGCTCCGGAAATTTTGACCACCTGGGGTTCTTCAACGTGCACCCAACTCTGAGCACACGGGCCTACAGCATTGTCGCCTTCGTCTAAAATGCAGCCGCTGCAGCCGGGATTCGATCTCAGAACTTAGGGGTCAGCAGCGGAGTACCTTAGCCAATATATACCACCACGGCGTGTCGAAACCACGTTATAATGATAACATTGCAAAGCTTTTTACGTACCAAAGCTACAATATGATTATGAGGCGCGCCTTAGTGGAGGTATCCGTAAGTTTCGACCATCTGGTGTTACGACATCATACGGGCCTCTAGCGTGTCACCTCCTTTGAAATGCGATCACCACGTCCCAGGAAAGAAAGGAACCAATAATGTAAGCTAGAAATGTCGTCTTGCACCCTCGGGGTTAGCTTATTTGTAAGCTTCTAATAAACATCTCTCCGTCTCTAACGCGGTGTCTTCAATAAATCGGTGTCTGTACTACGGCGAAATGTGAAGCAATCCGTTTTTTTTTTTTTTTTTCATTTCTACGCCCTTTACTACGCAGGCGAAGCCTCTCGCAACCCGTCCTCAACTCCCGGCCACCGTGTGGCCTTTCGCTGTTTGGTGTCTGTTTTTATCCGCCGAGCTGATGACAGCGTTTCCCGTAGTGACGAGCAGCCCCCCGCTGCGCTCGCCAAGGCCGTTTCCCTTCCTGTGATTCACTACAGCCGCGACAGCTATCATCACAGAGGTGACGTGAGACTCTGCACCACGTCACATGCGAAGTTTACATGACTGGCGATAGCCATCGGGCGCAAGTGGCGCGCGTTGGGCGGCCGAGAGGGAAAGCTGGCCAGTGCGCCGACCCTCCGCTCGCCGGCGAGCCGGGCGGGCCCAGGCATGCCCACGTGCTGCGTGACTCCCCCAGGCAGTTTCCGTCAAAGCATCCCGGGAGGCAAAAGAGACTCGCCGACGATTGTTGTGTCAAATGTGGGGCGCAGATGATTGTTTTACTCTCCAAGAGCCCACACGGCATTAAACACTTCCCGAAACAATGCGCGAGTATGAATTCTAAGCCGAAGCTGTCTATCTCCCAAATTTAAAAGCGCGATGCGATTCCACGAGCCCGGACCACTCGAAATCCACGGGGCGGACGGAAACGCAACGCTCACTTATTGTATTACCGAGCGTAAAGCATCCTGCGTCCTCGCCAATTGCTACGTGCGGCCGTCAACTAAACGCTGCCGTTTGCGTAAAATCATGATAGTTATACAGCGGTAATGCGGCCCGTTTCTGCTAATGTACACTGGCACCGGTAGCGCGTATCACGCAAGCCACACAACAGGTACGTGTTTGGCCGAAGCTTTGCAGGACAAGGGCTTCGTCAGATTCAAAAATTCGCTTTTTAGTTATGCAAGCTATAGCTGCCCAGCGATATATATATATATATATATATATATATATATATATATATATATATTATATATATATATATATATATATTTGTTTTTTTTCTTCAGTTCTTTCTGTATTTGCTGCTCTATACCTTTCTTGGTAATCTTTTCTTTTTTTGTGTTTTCTTTTTTCCTCTTCATTTCGATCTATTTCTATTTTTCTTTCTCTTCATTTTTGTTTGTCTCCTTTTGCATTTCAATTTAAATACGTAGTTTGTGTTGTGTTTCTCAAGTCATCGCAGTGTTGACCGCGCACTTCATGTCGACATCAAGAAGTCACTCGAACAACAAGTGAAAGAACTTACTTCTCTTTGGTTCGAGCGCGCGCTCAATACACTACAGCTCGCTATATGATATACGCACGGTTTTGCCTGCGTTACGCGAAGCTACAGCAAACGACAGCCCGGAATCCGAGCTTTAAAAAAACAAAAAAAACAAAAGAATTTCTCGAGGGGCACTTCGACTTCGGCTGCAACGTCTGCGACCGCGCCTGTGGCAGCACGTTTCTGCTTCGATGGCTAACCGTCTGTACAGTGTGCTTCGGCGGGTTTTCTGTGCGTGTAGCTTGAGTGTGTGTGAAATGCGTGCAATCGGGGAAAATATGTACTGTCTACTTTTATGGGGCACCTTCAACTGGAAGGATTGCTGCAGATGTGCAAATTCATGCCTTTTCTTTCCCTTGTCGGCGCTTAAGAGCATATACTCATACATTGTTGTAAAGTACACGCGCTTCTGTCCAATACAAAAGTATTCATCGGCGATGAGGCAGCATGCGAGGCACTTCGTCAATCATGAAACTACGTTCGTGGTTGCACCTGATTATTACCAGCGCCCCCTGCAAAATATGCACTCGTTCTCGGCTAATATTAAGGGTGTATCACATAAAAAGCAGAATCAGACACTGCCATGAACGCCAAGTCATTTTATACATGCGCCCGCCTTTCTTTTTTTTTTGTTACTATTATTATTGCAACCGCTACGGGTACAAAATTAAGGACTATTCCGCTGCAAGCTGTTGTTAGAGCTCTCCGTTTCTTGGGAATCAGCCATCCAGTCTTGCAGATCACTTTCATCGCCGACTGGCTTGCTTGTCGATGGCCCTATAAGGAAAAGACAAATTACACTTTAGTTGTTTGCCGCTCTCTCCCTACTGCCATGATGTTTAGGTGTAAAGACATGTATAACAGAAACTTGCTTTCTGTCTATTTGGATGTTTGGTTTCTTGTAGTTTTGGGGTGCTTTAAAATTTGCAGGTGGTGGGTGGGTGCGAAACACACACACACACACACACGCACACACACGCACGCACACACGCACACACACACACACGCGCGCACACACGCACACACGCACACATACACACACACACACACACACACACACACACACACACACCCATCCAACCATCTCCGATCCTGCTCAATACTGAAAAAATTGTGCAGGCATATATGACTGTGAGAAGTAGGTATTTAGGTGTTATATTTCGCAAACAAAAATTTTTGTTGCCTGAAGGGTGCTTTGAAATTTGAACACCCAAGTGACACTGCGTCGCGCAAGTTACAAAATATATGTAATATTGCTGGTCTGAGCAATTACAACGAAACATTTTTTTATTTATTTTCAAGGAACTGATACTTAATGATTATGATAGTTTATTCATTTTTCTTTTAAATTTCTTTAGTTTTGGAATTGGCGAAAATTGCAATGTGCTGCATGTTTAGCCTTGTTTTATGAAAAGCACATATATTTTCATGAGTAACATACTCACAATATGTGTTTTGTGGGTTTCTATAATAAATTTTGCAAATGCTTCAAGAGCGTATGACGCAAAAACCTTGCCACAATATTGTGACAAATTTTCTTAATGTAGCGGTACAAGTTAAAATACGGCTTTTGTATTGTTGCATAGTATGCTTTTTTACTAGGACATATATAAAGTTGCGAAAGAGTAGTTTTTTTTTAGGGAAAAAAACATTTTCCAGCTGAACAACTACAAGGTAGGAAAAAGTTGGTCTTTACTTCGCCTTCACTGCATAGCTCGTCAGCCTAAGATTACAGCGGGGGCTTTTAAGCAGCAGATAATGCATGTTACGCAACTGCTGTTCACTTGTTTTGGTAATACTGCTGCATAGCACGTCAAAAAAAAAGGAATAGTAATAAAGTTATGGAACGGTATCCTTTATCTTTCTGCTTTGGACCATCAAAAGGCAGGTTCTATACAACCGTTTGAAGTACCAAGGGTCAAAATAATAATCTAGTCGACAGCCTGTAGGACAGTATTAGGGCGTTGTGTTTCGCTTCTGATAATTAATGCACATTGTCTTAATATTATTTAACGACTCAAGCAAGGTATAATATTTTATTTAAGGTGTTTTCATGGTGTTTCAGGTAGAGGCACTGGTTTGCATGATAAAATGATGTATCCTAGGTGTATGCGTTAGACAATGATTCGAGTTCGTCTCACAAAATTAGAACTATTTCCGTTTCGCCCCTTTTCTGTTCTTTTGCTTCTATTCTGGAGAATAGAAGCTCTTATTCTGCAGCCTAAACCCACGAGGAACGATTGCTCTTTCGGGCTTTTAGCTTGTTCGTATACCTCTTTACGTGGGTTTAAACGTGGGTTCACGTGGGTTTATCGAGTTTAAAAGTTTACGTTTCCCGCCATATAGGTTTACGTTTCCTGCCCTATCTAGAGAATCCGCCTTCGTTCGTAGAAACTCGTGGTATCCGCATTGCGGGGTCTCGACCGTCGAGTTGAAATAAGCCAAAGTGCGAGCACATATAGCCATTACATTGTTTCAGTCAGATTACCCAAGCTAGAATGGCCTAAGACATAGACGTCGTAAACGTGCAAACTTCCAACAAGCTAGGTAGGTGGCGCCATCTATCGTGGTAATAATGAACCAGGTAATCACAAAATTGTAATTACAGAAACATCGTGCATTGTACGTCTAGTGCAAAACAAAAAACCGCGCAGTGGCGTTATTAAAAATGAGTTACCTTTTCAACCATTTTCACCCCAAAAACATTACGCGTAAGCCAACGTGTTCATGACTGTGGTTGCACGAAGTATCACAAGATGCCGACACCATCGTTGCAGTAGCCTTGTAATTTTAACGCTTTTGCGCATACGAGGATACTGTACGCGATAAAAGAATGTCTCGTGATTTCGCCACACTGGTGGTCCAATCATATGTAAGTGAAATGCAGTTTATATACAGTTAGCATCACCATTTATGGTTTGCGAAAACGCAAAGGTCTACACGTTTAAGTACGCACGCAAACGTTCACGTAGGAGGAGCTAAAACGCTGAAAAATATCCGTTCCGGTATGACGGTAAGCGCAAACAGGTATCCGGTAACACGCTAACGTAAATAAGTATACGTAGAAGCTAAAACATCACTGCACGCGTCCGGTAATTGTTTTTATAAATAAGCTCGGAGAACAAAGCGCCAACCGCTTTTTTTTGTTTAATATTATACTTTATTTCAATTACTTAGGTGCAGCTACCAAAGTGGTATATTTATATCAGAATGTTCCAGCACTAAATTCTTAATCCTAAAAATGGGAAACTATTGCTTCAGAAAGTTTTTCCGTAAAGTAATGCATACGTCATACGCATACGCACGCCCATCCCTTTTTTCAATTCTTTTTTTCAAGTACTGCAGCACTATACAGTGCTATGCAGCCATGGTGAATATTTAAACGAAGAACTAAAAAGAAGTAGCATAATATGAAAAAAAATGTAGTAACCTTACAACAGAGTTGCTATGAAAGTTCACACATGCATATACACGGCTTTTAAAAATTTATTATTTTAGATCTGAAGCAACATGAAGATGCCTGATAATCGTGCAAGTAAAACCACAGTAAGGTAGAGAGGTGGGTGAGTTGGAAACGATGCATGCTTGGAAAAGCCGCACGAACACGACGGAGATGCAACACCAGAAGGACACGGTATACGAGCGCTGTCTATAAATTGAAATTTGTGGGAAAGAAACTGAATGAACGAAAAATTTTTGCTCACACCAAGCGTGAGCTAGAATATTAGATCATGTGAGATAAATAGCTAGAGGCCTTCTGTTTTGTTGGCTGCATTGCGTGGTACGTAAATTCAGCAATTTCTTTCACGTGACCTAAAATTCATGCGCACGCATGGTGTTAGCTTTGCATGCATCAGTTTTGTTTCAATAAACTTCAGTTAAGACAGCACTCGTACTTTATCCTTCTCGTCTGGTTTGATTGATTGATATGTGGGGTTTAACGTCCGAAAACCGCCATATGATTATGAGAGACGCCGTAGTGGACGGCTCCGGAAATTTAGACCACCTGGGGTTCTTTAACGTGCGCCCAAATCTGAGCAAACGGGCCTACAACATTTCCGCCTCCATCAGAAATGCAGCCACCGCAGCCAGGATTCAAACCCGCGACCTCCGGGCCAGCAGCCGAGTACCTTAGCCACTAGAGCACCGCGGCGGGGCCTTCTCGTTTGGTTTGATTTTCAAGTGTAAATAAAACTGACTCCACAGCACAAATCCATTCTGAATTTCTGGCCCGTAGGTGCACCCTGCAACATACTAAGATGTTGCTCAATTATAAAAATCTGCCTATATTACAATAAATTTACGCATAATCAACAAGCACGATTTCAATTTAAAGTAACACAAATGTAAGCCGAAGAATGTGATTCTCGCAGCTGGTACCAATTTGTTAGGGTTTAACGTCCCAAAACCACCATATGACTGTGCGAGACGCAAGTAGAGGGCTCCGGAAATTTTGACCACCCGGGGTTTTTTATAACGTGCTCTAAAATTTACGTAAGCGGGCCTCAACAATTTCGCCTTCATCGAAAATGCGGCAGCCGCAACCAGGATTCGATCCCATGACCTGCGGGTCCACCGAGTGCCTTAGCCCCTTGACCAGCGTGGCGAGTCGCACCTGGTATTGGTGATGACATTGTGGAAGCAGCGTTCAGAGAGAAAACTTCCGCCTTAGGCTCCTTGTGGTCGCGATCTTTGCTTTGGTTGTCAACTGTAATCAAAACAACGCGACTTAGTTCACAAACTTAACGTAATCCTTATCTGATTATTTTTGTGTATGAGTTCAATGCGAGCATTGAATAGAGAGGGATAGAGAAAAAGAAAAATATAAGCCAGGTAGAAGATATATATATATATATATATAGGGAGAGAGAGAGAGAGAGAGAGAGAGAGTGAATCATGAGGAGAAAACGTGAATGTCTGTAGACTTTTCACAGATATATTGTCAGCTTCACTCTTGTACAAAAAAAATTGTCGAACATTTTCAGAATGTCGAACTGCTGAAAAGGATCAGAGTAAGTCTCCAACAAAACATTTTTCATAATACTTTAAATTTACAAATTTCGACGACAAAAGTGCCGTTCGCCATTCTGCTATATATATATATATATATATATATATATATATATATATATATATATATATAGGGGATACTGCAGGCTGAAAATGGAGACCTTGCAGGAGTGGTATTAGGGGTGAAAGAATCACAAACACTTGTACAAAAAAAAGATAGTAATTTTCAATAAACGCACAGGTATACACAATATGCTCACGTATACACACATATAACTAATATAGTCATACATGCACATGTACATAGGGCAATTTTCGATCAATACATTTTAAACTCATATTTTAATAGCAAGTATAATTAGGACAAGCCTAAGCACACGCATTACTTCAGACACTTATATATATATATATGCTCATACATAAACTTTATTACGCAAACACATGCGTGTAATCGGTTGGAATTACAAGTGCACAAGAATATCTACCCTTAATTCCGAGAAATGAAGCAGTGTTTTTTTATGATTTAATGGAGTCGAATGAGGGAATGTTTTGTACTGATTCAAGCCACTCAACTGGAAGAGCGTGCCAGTGTTTATGGTCCGAGAAAAAAGAAGAGCTTGAGTGTGTTGTGTTTGAAATCGTGTTATCAATTCGGCATGGCGATTTCTAGTTAGTTATGACGTCTAAGGTGATATGAACGGAGAGGCCTGCAGTGCAAAATGTTTCTTTTTTAAATGAACAATGACCCTAAATATTAGGACTTTAAGGTGAAGTTGAAGTTTCTGTATTTCATTTTCTTGCATGATGACTGTCGGCGAGTCTGTCATGCGGTACTTAGACAAGATAGACCTAATGCATTTACGTTGAATCATTTCAATGGCATGGATGTTCTTTTTAGAGCATGGGTTCCAAATAATGCAGCATACTCTAGAGTACGTCTAATTGTGGTTTGATGGGCTAACAACAGGCTTTGGACGTCACATCACGGACAGACGCACAAAAGGTACTCAGTGGCCTCAGAGGTGCCACGTACCTCGCAATTTGGACTGTCTGTGCAGCTTGGAATGGGCTAAGGTATTTCATATTTTTACTTTTTATGTCCCAACATACTACTACGGGGCGCCATAGAAAAATTCGATAGGGGAGAACACGATGTTTAAAGAGGCTCTAAAGTCAAATAACAATTTACGTCAGATTGAAAGCTCAATGTATGACAACATCTAAAACGACAATAGTATCAACAGCAGTGCCCTACTTACCAATAAATTAAGGTAAATGCACAAGCATACATGCGCCTCAGTAGGTAATTCTCCAAATGATCCCGATGACGTCAGACGAACCGCCCACAATGAATCACTAGTAATTGATCTTGCTGTAGTAAATAAAGAACATTCCATGCATCAAGAGACGCAATATAACGCTGCCTGTTCGTTTCTGTTTCATTCATGAAAAAAAAAACGGACGTTCTCATAAGGAATGTCGTGAGTGTTTCGAAAATTCAATTTTCGCGTGGTTAAACTGGACAGGTGATGCCATCTAACAGAGCCCAGTTGAAACAAAACACGTCTGCTACCTCGGAGCCAGTGGCAGGAAATTGATCAGTGGCGGTTGCTGTGGCTCCCGCTGCTTTTGTTCTGCTGCTACTAGTGTCGGCGGCTGCGCAGTAAAGCCGGGCAATGTTGTGCACGGCAGCAGTGACGTGACACGTTATGCTTTTTGAGGTGGGTAATTTGAAGTGCGATAACCCGATGCGGATCACCAAAACCTAATTGTGTTACAAAATAGGTCCTTCCTGGCACAAAAGTAACACTACGAGGTTTCTGGACCGCAATTTCAGCAATCAATGTCGACTTAATAGTTGCCTTTAGTGTCCCTTTAATATCTTGTGCAGACTGGGCTCCATCTTGTACGCCTGCCTGTAAATCCATAGTAAATCTTCGCAGACGCTTTTCTGTCCGCAACATTTTAATGGAGAGTGCGGATCCTCCCAGAATCAACATCCACGACAATTCAACGCAGCGGATGTTCCTTAGCTGCCTCTGCGATGGCTGATCACGACGAGAACGAGGATTCGTAGGAAACTTCACCAATCGTGTTTTTTTTTTTTTAAATTAAGTGTATGTAAGGACAGGTTGGTGCCAATACGTGGCGCCGGCTACTCCTCTTCTGCACAAAAGTCGACATCGTACATTTTGTAGCAAACACAAGGCTATACATATGTGCATAGCACAACACTTACACAATGAGTTCACGTTTTTCAACACTGAGTGTCCACACCACACAGAAATGTGTCCGCACCACACTGGGTTTGTAGAAACACAAGTAATCGCGCCAATTTAAGTGTTCACAGAAAACGTGAAAGTTCAATGAGATGTCTAAGGTGATCTTGTCGGTTAAACACTGAACTGTTTTCAGAAACGTTTTCCCAAAAATATCGTACTGAAACACGAAAATACTGTTATGAAACATACCAGTTAACAGTGAAGTACATTTGTTTTTTGTTTAGTACTTCTGGACTATTTCTGATTCCTCCAGAAAGTGAACAACTGCATGCGCTGCAGAGGCTTGTAGCTTTCCTTTTGGCCATGGACCCAAGATTTTTGCAATTGATGGAGGTCGCTTGTCCAAAGAACTGAGTTTTTGAAAAGATTCTTTGGAAGTACGTCATGATTTTCACAATGCACAAGAATGTGCTCCACGTCTTCTTGAGCTTCTCCACATGAGCAGGTACGACAGCCAACTTTTCTTATTCTATACAGGAAAGCCTTCGTGTAGGCTGTACCAAGACGAAGCCTATAGATGACTGTTTCTACTGATCAGCTAACCTTTAACGGAATATTAAATTCTATACCGAGATCAATGTTATACAACACAGAGTTTTGCGCACCATTTTCGAACCAGGTTTCCGTAGACAGTTGACAGCTCAGCTTATTGATTAGACACCATGCATCGCTCATCGACAGAGGTAGCAGTGATATATTATTTTCTTGATGTGCTGCATGTGCAATGGGATCAGCTGTGTCATTTCCTGTGATTCCACAGTGGCTTGGCACCCTCTGGAACATTAACTGTGGTTTGAATTTTTTGCTATAGCATACGTCCTCTGTATTTCATATGCGAGCTCACTAGCTTTGTTGCCCAAGCTGATTCCTTTTAAAGAAACTAATGAGGACTGTTAGTCACTGATAACTACCCATTGAAGTGAACCTGGCTGTAAACATATGAAGCGTTAAGCACAGAGTATTGCATAGAGTCCTGCCATTGTGAATGTTGTGAAATGGCTGAGTTTAAAAGCTCTTCTCACTTGGTATGCCAGTAAAAAGAATGCCGACGTAGAGCTTTGATTCAGACATAATAGTCTTCAATATAGTCTTCATAATTGGTGTAAAGGTGTTTTAAAGTTAATTGCTTTATTACAAATATGAGCATATCATTCTTAATATTTAATCCCGGAATCGAAGTTGTAATATCTAGGATAGAGAGTCGCCATGGTGAGTGGGATGCACATGGAGGCCAGTATTCGTGTGTAGGCAGTAAACTCTTGAATTCTACTCTAGTTTTATGTATTCTTGCAGCTGATCTCTCCTGAATAGCTCGGTATAGTGGATGATTAGCATGTTGAGTTGCGAACCGAAGATAATGCCGGCAAGTTTCCGTAAATCTCATAGCATGGACAGTCGGTTGAGGAGACCCCGCCATTACTAAAGCACTGGCAGATGCTCGCGGTACAACAAGACATATACGAAGGCTTCTGGCCAACAATCTTTGAATCCTCTCCTCTAAGTTACGTGATATCCATGTAAAACCGGAGCAGAGTAAGCTATTCTTTGTCGAATGATTGCTGAATGTACGCGCAATAAAGAAGAACATGAACTACCCCATCTTACTCCGGTCAGTCGACGTAATATATTGATTAGGGAGTTGACTTTGTCCACTAATGATTTTATCTGTGGTGCTCAAGACAGACGTCTGTCTAAGATAACCCCTGAAAATTTGTGCTGTCGCACAAGTTGTAAGCGCTGAGAGTCTATCTGAAGTTTGAATTTCCCAAGGCATTTCCTTGTGAATTGAAGTACAGACGTTTTCTCAAGAGAAAGAATCATGCCTCTGCTCCTAAAGAAGTCACTGATTATTGTCAGCCCATCTTGAAGTTTTTGCTGAACTGCTTGAATGCTCGTGTCTGATGCCCAAATGCACAGATCGTCTGCATATATGGAATATTTGAAGCTAGTAGGTAAGATATGGGATATTTCAGCCATAACGCAATTAAATAAAAATGGGCTTAGTACGCTACCCTGTGGAACTCCTTGACTAACTTCATGCTCTTTACTTTTACCGTCAGCTGTGTCAATGAAGATTTTTCTGTCTCTTAAGAATTCTGCAATCCATCTTAGTGTTCTGCCAACTATTCCCAACTGAATTAAACCGTGTAGTACATGAGCGTGGCTGGTTGTGTCAAATGCTCACTTTATATCTAGAAATACTGCAACGACGATTCTTCCACAGCTCCTCTCATGATCTACATAAGTTACAATGTCTAGAATGGCATCCATGGTGCAGCGGCGTTTACGAAAGCCTGCCATATTTTCTAGAATCACGTTCGAACATTTCACCCACTAATGAAGTCTAGCGTCTATCAACTTTTCCATAAGTTTACATAGACAGCTAGTCAGGCTGACAGGACGGAAATAATATATG